ATGCAATAAAGTAAATGAACTTTAAATAGTTTGTTGGTCTTTTTATACATTACAAATAACAATAGCCTAATAATATAGCCAAAATGTGACCCTGGAGCACAAAACTACTCATAAGGGTCCATTTTTTGAAATTGAGATTTATACATCATCTGAAAGCTGAATAAATAAGCTTTGCATTGATGTATGGTTTGTTAGGATATGATATTATATATTATATCATATTTGGCTGAGATACATTGAGAAAATCATCTTTAAAGTTGTCCAAATGAAGTTCTTAGCAATGCATATTACTAATCAAAAATTAAGTTTTGATATATTTACGGTAAGAAATTTACAAAATATCTTCATGGAACATGATCTTTACATACAATCCTATAATGTTTTTTGCCATAAAAGAGAAATGTATAATTGTGACCCATACAATGTATTGTTGGCTATTGCTACAAATATCCCCCAGCGACTTAACACTGCTTCTGTGCTGCAGGGTCACATATGGTTTTCATAAAGTAGCAAAAATTATTTTACACGATTCTTCTTCTTCTGGCTTCTCCTTCTAGTAAAACCCTCTTCACACCTGCGTCACAGCACCACTGAAAGGTTTCCCCATGCAATTAACCTATAGTATATATAAAGCCTATATATTGCAGTTAACATGTAATTGCTGCTGTATTATGGACATGTTGAATATCACGTTGGATAGAATATAATATTTTCCTTCATGATGCAAACCCATGACTTTGCCATTGGTAGTGTCTGCTCTTCCAGTTGAGTAACAGAATCTCTATATTTCTGATTTTGCAAAGAGAAGGAAGGTGACATGATATAGTGTTCATTATTTAGAGGAAGAGAGAGAAAGACCAATCTATATAAAGTATCCTACCTAAATCAAGTTTTATTGCTGCATTAAGGGTTCAAAAGTGTCCAAAAAAAAAAATCGCCTACCAAGGGTTAAAGCAATAATTAGATGCTTCCTATAGTTTTATTATTGTTATATTAAGAGTCAATCAGTTTTTTTGTGGTTTTGGGAACCTCAGAGGTGCTGTCTTTATCAAGTATTTATCTCTTGAAACAACTCAAAAATAAATGAGCCTTGCATATGAACTTGAGCTTTTTTGAGGCTGTTTATAAATACTAATGAATATTGGTTTGCAAACATATTATTTGCAGCAGATGCGTTTGTAAACACAGTGTTAACATTATAATTGGAGGCGAGCAAGAAATTATCCTTGTTAAAAAGAGTACTTATTATGGAAACAATATACTAAAGTGCAAACTGAATGTAATGTTTTTGGACACTTGTTGCATGTTAACTGCAATAAAAATTATTATTGTTCAAATTAAAATTAAATGCAATTAGCTGAGCTTTAGAGTGCTTTTTGACTCACTTAAGTAGAACTTGAGTACATTTTATATGTAATTGCATAATTATTTCCGTTGTCTTTGAAGTTGTCTTTTTATGGTAAAAAATGTAAATACACTAATGGCATTTCTAAATTAAATCTATTTAACTATATTTGTAATCGCATATTAATATTAATGAAATTAAATCTTAATCACCTGGCTTCACTGATAAAAACGTTCAGGCTATAGAACCTGGCAAGATTATGATGAGATGTCCAGCCTGCTTTTAGACAATTATCGGACTGAAAGCTCGCAAAGACACAATATCTGAATGCTTACAACGTAAGATGAACTTTAAGATCAAGAAAAGAAAAACATAGACTCACATGTGATTCTTTTAATGTTTTGTGGGGGGGTTGGTTTACGTACTCACCCTGTAGATGAGATTGTTTCTTTATTTAGGATTTGAAGAAACATAGCATTCCATCAGTGTCTCAGCAATGGATGCTCTGCAGTGAATGGGTGCCGTCAGAATGAGAGTACAAACTGCTGATAAAACATCACAATAATCCACAAGTAATCCACACCACTCCAGTCCACCAGTTAATATCTTGAGAAAAGAAATCCATCTTTTAACTTTAAACTGCCACTTCTGGCAAAATTCATAATCCATAATATCGCTTCATCCAGTGAAAAAAAATCATCCAATGCTGTCCTCACATCACAATCCACCCACATATTTGAAAACAAAACAGTTTTGGGTTGTTAGAGCCCAGCAAGCAGTTTAAATAATGGCGAACACCACAGAATGGATGCTTGCGGCACTGTTAGTTGCCAAAATTAGACCTGTCTCAAGCATTGAAGATACACAGTCAGGGATGTCAGGGATAAAGCAAACCAAAACACTATCAATCTAGATCTTTTGATAAAGAATCATGCTGCATAATTTTTGACTGTGTGTGGTAATCAGACCTGGAGTGTAACCTCTTCTGACATAATGCATTAGAGTCACATGGCATAAGCACAGGTAATTGTTTTCAGTTGGATATGATTTGCCCAGTATTTAGAGAAAGTGACCCTAATAAGCCCATGCACCAAATAAATCCTCCTGTTGTTTAGAAATATATAAATAACAGAAATATTATAATATAAAATATAAAACAAAAATATAAATGACAAAAGCATGAGAGAAATATTTCAAAGTAATGCATATGTTTGTTATCGTCATTTTACTTTTTATTTGGAGCCAATCAAATGTCGAGATCTTGAGTTATTTGTAATAATGTGTTGTTACTGTCTGGTTGAAGTCACATCCAAAACCAATCTTTTTTCTACATACCAGTGACTAAACTAACTGTGTATTGATAAAATTATGAGATTGATAAACTCAATCTCATAATATATATATATATATATATATTGGTTGCTTGCATAAGAGGCGGAGCAGGTGTCTGTTGCTGTGAGGTGAGAGGTCACAGTGACGTATTTGGACATTGACGCAATTCGTGCCTGTGGCAACATTTCTGCAAAATTATATTGCATTGCTTCTTGCACATTTTGCAGCACTTTCAAAGTGAAATGTCCAGTGGGTGGCGCTAGAAGGGCTTGAAAATAACATACCACCTACACAAGACTTTACGTCAAACCTAACCGATAGTGTTAACACAGGCAAATGTAAGATAAAAACGCAGCAACCGTGTAATTTTAAATTGCTTCTAGAAGACTTTGAGCTCTTTTATTGTGATTTGTGCTTTCCGGTTTAATGCTGTACCGGGTGCGCTATTGAGCAAGTTTACTACATCAGAAAAGCCATATATATGGAGCTGGTTATTTGATGCAAATGTCAAAATGTGTTACTTTACAAATCATGCACTATGCTAAAAGATCATAACAGAGTATTGTGCATGTATGAATCGATAATATGCCCCTGTAATCCTAATTTGTGAGAAAAGGAATAAATGTTGTTGATGTTTTACTGTTATTAGTGTTCATTTCAACTGAAAACTGCAGTGAATTGTATTTATAGCTACAGATTTTGGAGTTTTGTACAAATGTTTCCAATGAGCCTATGTTGCACTGACATGTTGGTAAGTACACAAGATTGAGACTGCAAAAAAATGGTGAAAGTGTGAAAGTTTCCATTATCCTAGCATTTTCCGTTATTTGATTTGTCTTAAAATCGTTCACTTGCTCTGCCGTCTTATTTACACACTTTCTCTATTTTTGTTGGAGTCAAGTACCGTCTTATATGTGCGTCTTTCTCACAGAACCCCAAGACATTCTCCCTGGGAGAGGAAAATTGAGTATTTTTAGCAGTTGCACTTCTGTGTTGCTTGTCATCTCTTTGGTCCCTCCTTTTTTTCCATATTTCCTAAATCAAGTCCATGGGAAAGATATGTCCTCCACTCAGTTTCTCACTTTCGCTCTGTTGCCATTGGCTTCCAGCCGCTGCTCGTCAACAATTCACTGCCCTAGGGAAGACGTTGCCATAGTAACTGCCTTCTCTGAGGCAGCTCGTCAGGACGTTCATCGGAGATGGGTTTTCAGCGCGATTCAGATATTTACATAGAGCCAAAACATGTCTTTTGACACTGGGCTACAGAAGAGGATGGAAAGATGACAAAAAAGAGGAAGGAAAGGAGATGGAGGATAGAGAGAGAGTGAGATAGCAAAGGAAAAAAGACGAGAAATGAGAGAATTCAAGAAAAAGAAACCATTGTAAATAACTAAGGAGGGGTGAAGTTGTTCTGTCTGGGATATAAAGGGCAAGACAGAAAATTATCCCTGTGCACGTGTTTACTTTAGTTAGTGGAAAATGTTATTGCTCAGAGTCAAAGGAGATGTGATGGTACTTTAGTGAAACACAACTGAAAACTTCAACTTGTCTTTTCTAAAATATCTTAGAATAAATAAACAAATGTACACAGCCATAAGAAACAGCTATAAAATGAATGTGGATAGTAGCAATGTCATCTCATGGGTATAATTTTCACATAAACACTAAAACATACAATACTGACGTATTGGCAGCATCTAACTCATGTACAACTTTACAGATGTAGATATGTTTATGAATCCTTATTTAATCTATGGATATTTCATTAATGGAATTAATAGCTTGATTCTGTTTTATTTCTGATTAATGAGATTTTGTTTCAGTTGCATTTATTATACGCAGTTGGCTTGTTCACTTAATTTGAAATGGTAACGTTTAACATTATAACATTTTCTGTGTGACTCTGTTTCCAAGTCATTTCAAATGATAAAGTAATTTTAAATAAGACTACACTTTAAAATAAGAATTTAATAAAACTCTTTCAACCATTTCTCACACTGCAAGAATTTGATGAGAATTATTTGAGTTTAGATTGAAATCTACTTTTGATTCCAGTTGAGAAAACTCTTCTAAAACTCATGTTTAGGCACAAATTACTGGGGTAACGTAATCAAGAGAGTGGGTCTATAGTGTGTATGTTTTCATATGAGTGTGGAGAAGGAAGGCTTCAGTAGCACAGTGATGGGCTGCTATAAATAGAATTGAGTTCTGTCGTCATTAAAGTTCATATTCCTCTCTGGTGTCATACATGCCACTAGCCCACAACACATTCAGTTAAATTGGTTTTGAAAATCCAGCAGGCACAATTGTTTCTGATGATTCCATGCCTAAACCATGTGGTGTTCTCCCATTAGCAATTCATGAGTTCCCTGAGGACATCTTCACCAAAGAGCAGCGCAAGAGAGGAGCCGTACTACTGCATGTGCTCTGTGTGAGTGACACTCCATCCATCCATCTATTGTTCTATCTACACTGAACAAAATTATAAATGCAACACTTTTTTGCCTCCATTTTTAATGAGCTGAACTCAAAGATCTAAGACTTTTTCTATGTACACAAAAGGCCTATTTCTCTCAAATATTGTTCACATATCTGCCTAAATCGGTGTTAGTGAGCACTTCTCCTTTGCCGAGATAATCCATCCACCTCACAGGTGTGGCATATCAAGATGCTGATTAGACAGCATGATTATTGCACAGGTGTGCCTTAGGCTGGCCACAATAAAAGGCCACTCTAAAATGTGCAGTTTTATCACACAGCACAATGCCACAGATGTCGCAAGTTTTGAGGGAGCGTGCAATTGGCATGCTGACTGCAGGAATATCCACCAGAGCTTTTGCCCGTGAATTGAATGTTCATTTCTCTACCATAAGCCATCTCCAAAGGCGTTTCAGAGAATTTGGCAGTACATCCAACCGGCCTCACAACCGCAGACCAC